AGGGGAAAAAAAGGGTGAAACCGTTTTTGTTTGGAATTTTTTTCTTTTTTCTCCCGCCTTGGGGTTTGGGTGAAAAATTTAGGGGAGGGCAAAAACACGGGGGGTCCTTTCCCCGAAAAAATAAGGCCCCCCTTCCAATGGATCCGGTTTTCGTTCTCTCCCCCCCATGCCGCGTTTTTTTTCCCCTGGGGTGGGTCCCCCGGGGGGGGCCCCCAGCAGCGGCGCCCCCAAGACTTCCCCGGGGGGGGGGGTGTTTCCGCGCCCAGGGGGCCGGGAGGGGGGGGGGGGGGGGGGCGCGGGGATCGGAGGTTGTCGTCCCCGCCCTCCCGGGCTGCGCCCAACGATATCTGGTCAGAAGACGACAGCGGCAGCGCCATGGGTGACGGGGGTAGCTTCAGCGATGCAGGCGGCGAAGGTGTGAGCATGCGTCCTGCCGAACGTGTGTTTATTGGGTTTCTCGACAAGAGCGGTTGGCGTTTGTTGGAGCTTTTAACTGGGATGTATGTATGTCGTCGTCGTCGTCGGTGGTGATGTGGTGCTGTTGGGGTCGTGTTGACCCGGGAGACCTCCTCTCCCACCTATGCTCAACCCGGCGACTCTGCAGTAGGGTGGCCCACATCGGTACCAAAAAAACTCTTATCATGAATGTGGGCATCCATCCCGTGACATACACGGGCCTCGGAACGAGATTGTGACGCAAACGGGGATGGTTATGTATCACAGATAATAATCCCCTTGGGAACATGAAGAACTTAAGACGAGGCAACTCAATTCCCAGGCACAAAATATCAATAAATCCGTCTGTTGGGTGCCTTTTGTCCAGCGCCGCCCGATAGCGTTAGGGTACGGGTTACACTGAGACGAGAATACAAGGACGCACCGCTCATCACCTTTGCACGGTTTCCCCTATGTGGGCGGTAGCGACAGCCGGCGATCGGCGAGCAGGCCGTCATGAATTCGTCGACGCTGTGCACGTGATCGAGCTCAGGGGTTAGTTTGCGCCCATACGACGACTGCAATACGAGATAAACCGTTCCTATGCTGCACGTTGTGGAGCATGCCTACGAGGGGCAGTTTTTTTTCATGTCTCTCTAGCCATTCACGCGTTTGGATGTCGTCTAAACCTGCCCCAACGCCTGTGAATGAATCTAAATAGGTAACTTCGCCGGCGGCGCCGGCAGCAGCAGCGCCGGCGCCGGCAGCCACGCGTGCAGAGACGCTAGCGTGAGCAGCGACTGCGGGAGCGAGAAGTGCGGAAGCGAGGGCGGCGGCGACCTCAAGGGGATGGCGTTCTTGCCTCCCAGCCCCATGGACCGAAACTCCCCCGGAGGCGGCCCGGGCCTCTCCTCGGCGGCGTGGGACAGCCCCAGCCCGAGACGGAGCAACGGCGGCGGCGGTTTCAGTGGCGGCGGAATAGGTTCCACCGCGTCTTCTACCCCGTCCTCGGGGAGGCGCGTAGGCGGCGGCGGGAAGAGTTCCGGTTCGTTCTCCCCGCGGGGGGGGGGGAGGGGGGAGGGCGGCGCGGGGCTCCTTTTCGCGCCCCAGCTTTCGGATGTGCCGATGTTGTCCGCGGGAAATGGGGGGCACCGTGCGTAAAATCAAGCCCCCAACCCCGCTCCCCCCCCCCCCCCC